AATTCTATTCGTTATAAGTAAAGTTGTTTAAAAATATGCTAAGACTGTGAATCTTGAAATGTAAATAATAAATCTTTTGCATGAAAAATAAGAAAATAAGAAACTACCAACGAAGAAAAACAAGATGGCGGCGTTGTCAGTGTAAATAGTAAATAGACTAAATTTAATTGAATATTATATTCTTAGCTTGATAGCTAACATCTTGATGTTGTTTATGGCAGAAAAATGTAAATGACTAATTTTTATGAATTGAATACCAAAGAAAATGAAATAATCATTTAGAAACACAACCGAAGCACATCATTCTCTACCGTGATGGATTTGAATTTGATACTATTATGAATATGATAAACCATTCATTCATTCATATCAGACTATACTGTCTATACTAAATTTATTATTTTTTATTAATATTTGTTATTAATATTATGTTATTTTAAATTATAACGGAACGCTGGTGCCAAATTCAAAACACAAATAAATCGCATCGAATGAGCAGTTACTTTGTCATTTAAATAATGTTTTACCATGCGTAAATGGTAAAATGTGATGTGATAATTGTCACTCAACATGCAGTTTAATAATGTTTTACCAAGTCCAAGTTGGAATATGGTGCAATCATCTGGGACCCACACCTTAAACAAGACATGGACACGATGGAGCGAATTCAACGTAACGCGATGCGTTTTATCGCTCGAGTCTACAAATCCACCACTCCTGGCTTCGTCACTGGCCTCTTAAAAAGATTTGACATCCCACCCCTTAAAGACAGACGAGGGGGACTCCGCCTGATATTCTTATATAAAGTGATGATGGGACTGGTGCCAGCCATCCCAGCAGGCACGTACCTCACCCCACAGAAGCCGGGTAAACTGATCAGTGCAAAACGCTCACCCCATAAACAATTACACCAGAAAAAAACAACAAATGCTTCAAAGTGCCTCAGTGCAACACAATGCAGTATCAACAATCTTTATTCCCACACACAGTAATTGCATGGAACCACCTGAACGATGCCACTGTGAACTCTACATCGGTCGAAAGCTTCAAGGCTGCCCTGGCATCAGCTAGGGGCTGTTAGAATAGCAACATCATATCCCCAACTGTTGCAAAGATGCCAGTTCATGGATGCAGCAACAAAACATTACCAGAACCAGAAGTGCTTGGTAAAATATGATAAATAATTGTCACTCAAAAACTTCAAATACTGTCGTAAAACATGTTAAAGTTGTCCTCCTTTTTTATGTGTGTGAAAGCACCATTGAAAATCACACAAGTGACTTGAAACTGGCCATGGCTTGATCTACTTTGATAAACCTGAGGAATTGTTGAACATGTTACCGGTGGATGTTGGCTTTGAAAATTGTAGCGTGGAGTAGTAAGCCAACACTTTTGAACACATTATAACTGAACATGTATTTCCAGGAAGTGACATTTTTACTGATGCATGGGATGGCTAGCTAACATCAATCAAATCTATAACGAAGTTTATCAGCATGATGTCTTGTGCCTGCCCAAAATTTCATACATCCAGTTCACCCAGAAATCCACACAAAGACTAATAAGGAACTTTGGATACCAGTATAGGCAAAGCTTATATTTTGTAATCAAAGTGGAACAAGCTGTAGCCTGTTTCCAAGTTACTTGTTATTGTTTGCTTTCCAGTGGCGCTATAGCTACAGTTACTACAAAGAACATGTTTTTGGACAGTACTTATAGTTTTTGAGTGACAATTACAGACCTGTTTGCTCTTATGATTTTGGCATACAATGTATGATTTGAGGTGTATACATTATGTATACTTTTAATGTTTATTTGTTTACTATTATATAATGTATTGAATGATTTTGTCATGATATTGTACGATTTTTAGAGTTTGAGGGTAAACAGGTCTAGAATTATCACAATTGATCATGTACTTGGTAAAACATTATTTTACTGATAAAGTAACTGCTCATTCGATGACTTTTATTAGTGTTTTGAATTTGGGACTGGTGTTCGGAGGATTGCCTATTAATTAATAGCAGTGAAGCTGATGGCGACACATGACATCTCAAAGAAAGATTTTAAAAAATAATACTTCTTACCTTATGCCATAGCATTTTAACATATTTTTTTTATAAATTTAGGTAGTTTTCAGGATCACCTGGCCTCATAAGATTTAAATTTTTTTTTAATGTTCACCAGTCAAAGTGTTACATTTTTTTGGGACTTGATGTCTCTAATAGAGAGAATAATGAAGGTGCTTTCAAAATCATGGTCAAAATATTGTTACAAAATTTCCATATTGGTGGAAACTCATCAGAAGAAACATATGTTATCCAAAATTAATGTGGAAATTCATTCTTATGTTTGTTTATAATTTTAAAAAAATACCTTCAAGAAATGTTCATGCTGTCTCTCACCATTCCTTCCCAACTGAATGGCACTAAATACAAGCAAACACAGCTTGCATCCTGCTTCTACTCATTGAGCGTCTCATTCTCTGATCTCTGAATACAAGGTACTTGTCCCCAATGTCACAATAATACAGGATGGACACCCACTATCCAAGACCTGGCTAGACAACCTGTTTAAATAACATGGTACCATAATGGTTCACACTGCCAACTGTAGTCTTTTGTTACACCTTTAGTTCCTCAGCAAATCTAGATTACTTTGACCCGAAGACTTTTCTGTCATAATATTATCATCTTACAAAGCGCAGTCATTAGTCGCAGTGCTCGCTTATCTATTTCATCTAACTTTGTCCCTATGGTGAGGGCATAGACATTTTTACTATGAACTAATAGCTACACATACAGCTACTTTTAGTTTTCCAGTTCATCTTTCCTGACATCATTAGTATTTATTCCTGATGCCTGCACCGCCTCCCCTGTCCAAGCAGTAGAAAGGAGGAGAAGAAAGTTACAGATTTAATTTCACCTCATTTCCAGAGTAGTTGCTCTGCTCATGTGCTTAACATAAATTACTGCTTCCTGTCAAGCCATCCCAGTCTTTAGCTTTTTTTTTACCGCCCTTTATTTATATTTTGCAACTTCTCCTGGCTCTTATGCGATATCCCATCAATACTAAATCAATAAATGTCATTTGAAAATATTTTCACTCTAAAATTTTTTTCTTCTCACACACATCATACAAATTTATTAAGCTCTATGGGTCCATTTAAAATCAGTTTGCGGGCTGCACGTGGCCTGGAGACCTTGGATTGGACAGCACTTTACTACATGCTGCATACACTGGGCATAAAACATACTCATAGTGACTCATAGATTGGCCTACATACAACAAAATGATTAATTAGATTTAGACCTATAGGGCTTTCTTTATAACAATAAATTAAATGATGTCTAAATTCATAAAATACCATAAGGAATAATTCTAGCAAGTGACCAGTCATGAGCATTTTATTTCTCCTAATTTTTGGGATCAATCTGATCATGTATAAAATGTTTCACACGCACAGTCTTTGCCAATGTTGGAGTAAATTATCCTGTTCCATTTAGATTACCTTTGAATTTTTAAGTTCTACAGTTGTAATGGAGTTAATTTAATTTTTTTTTTCTACAGACATCCAAAAGTTCTTATGCCTACATGGTAGATACAAACTACAGATAAATAATTTTAGGTAAAAATAGTAAAATAATTTATGGTCAGTAAATTGCAAACAGATATCACCTGCAAGTGATATGTTAAATATATGAAGTTGTTTTCTGCCAAAGTAAAGTCTCTACCCCTGGAGAAAAAAAATATTTTTCCCTAGCCTAATCATCTAAACATTGGCGTAGAAGAGGGGTGCGGAGGAGATAGCACTTTTTTCTTTTGAAGGAGGAGCAGCATTTCAGCTAACTGCACAGTTTATTTTGTGGAAGTGGGGAGGCAAAATCTTGGCCCGCCCTGGGCAGCACTTAAACTGCATCTAAGGAATGCTAGTAAATGTAGTGAAAGTGGAAATTATGTTAGTTTTATTATTCTTAAATAGCAGTTGTGGCAGATCAATTCCCATATATGCCTATATATAACTAAAGGAGATTATAAACAATAGGATATCTTCTGATACACAGCAACATTCCTTTACCAGGTCTCCTTTAGTTATAAAAATTAAATGCATATTCTTCTTAAATGGACTACGGTCTGTCTAAAATTTCGTGTAATTTTTATACTCCAACATAAATGGCTTAGTTAGTGTCTTGAGAGTTGCTCTGGAATGTCAAATGCTTAAGGCAAGGCTTCTTAACCAGAGTGGTCTGCATACCCTGGGGCTGCTGGAGTCAGTGTCAGGTGCTGGAAAAAAGTCAGGTTTATTGGACATTTTTTAACATGGGGAGTGGGAGGGGGTTGCGCGGGATATATTTTTTAAAATCTAGATGAGGTGTGGAGCTGCAAAAAGGTTTTAAGAGGAAAAACTCTCAAATGTAAATTAAACACAGAAAAAATTCACATATTGAATGAACTGAGGCATCATAAATTGAAATATATAACAATGCCAAAAAAAATAATTAATAAATGAGAAAAAAGAGGCCTCATGAAACATGAAATTGTAAATATAATCAAGTAAATGTTTCACTTCCATCAACAAAGCTTTTACTTTTACACTTAGAGCCTTTCAATCGATTTTCTTTTGATTTCCTTTTTAACAGTTTCATCAAATTTGACTCTCCTTTTGCATGGTAAAGAAAATGAATGTACATGTGACAGGCCGAATTCGACCGTTGTTTAGAGGTGAAAGATTAGCATTGAAGCTAGAAGACCATAACAAGGTAGCAGCTCGATCTGGTGGACCTTACTTTGGGTAAAAATGTAATTCTATTGTTTTCCAATAAATCCCTTCACAGCTTGAATAAAGCAATTTTCATTACAATTTAACACTCCTAATTAGTTATGGAACCCAAGCACAATGATAACAGAATGATGAAACCACCATCCCTCTTTTTTCATAATCTTAACATTTCCTTTACAGATTCCAAGAACTCCATTCAGAAAAAAATACAACATATGATGTATTTAAAAGTTCTGTACAGTCCGCTGTGGATATATTTTTGGGAGGCTGTAATGCGTGCATCCTGATTGGGGGAGAAAGCGGATCTGGAAAATCTTATACTATGGCAGGCGAGGGGGTTTCAAAGTCTGGCCTTGTACCTTTGATCATTGATTATATTTTTGCAAGACTTGCAAAAGGTAGATCTACTTTTTCAAGTTAACAACATAAAATTTTGGAATAAAAAAAAAAAAAACTGAAATGTTTTTAAGGACAAAAAAAAAATTTGTACGCTAAAATATAATGATATCTTCATTCTTTTAGTTGTTTCTATGGCAGGCGAGGGGGTTTCAAAGTCTGGCCTTGTACCTTTGATCATTGATTATATTTTTTCAAGACTTGCAAAAGGTAGATCTACTTTTTCAAGTTAACAACATAAAATTTTGGAATAAAAAAAAAAAAAAACTGAAATGTTTTTAAGGACAAAAAAAAAATTTGTACGCTAAAATATAATGATATCTTCATTCTTTTAGTTGTTTGCTTAGATCTATCATTTAGTTAATTTTAACTACAATAAATTGTATAAACTTTGAAAGTTAATTTTTTAAAAATTAAGAATGGGCGTTTTCAAAAAGTTAAATATTTCTGGGAGAGTAAAATAAGTGGCTCAAAAACATTGACTAATTTGTTGGAAGCAAAATCAGTTTTGATTTAGTAATGAAATTTTTAACAGTTCCAGTTATATAAAAAATATTTTTTTTAATATAGTTTAATTTTATCCCCAACCACCAAAAAAATAAAAAAACGACATTGTCATCCCAAAACTTTGACTTTTCTTGTTTCTCAGACATTTTGAACATGTGTGAAAATGTGTGTTTTTCATTTCAAAGTCTATAATTATTATTGATCAACATACATTATGTGCATCCACAATACAGAAAGCTACAGTTCTGATAGGAAGTTGTCCATGCGCAACCAAAAGGTGACTTTGCAGATGTTTGAAGTTTATGATGAGATTATTAAAGATTTGCTCCAGATCCCCGTGGGGGGAGCAGGCTATCTTCATGTTGAAGAAAATGCTGAAAAAAGTGTGCATTTGAAGGTATGTTGATTTAAGTTTAAGGAACTTTGAAACCTTTTACGTATTTAATTAATTTTTTGTATTTAAATTTACATTCATCAAAATGCTGTAACATTTGTCGTATGAAAAAAGTTAATAAACAAAAATACTCTTAACGATATTTCATTAAATGTGTTCAATTCTAGTGTCATTACCTTAGTCAGTGCTTTCAAACTTTTCATGATGCCGATATACACTTTTAGAGTGCATCATTTCACAACACAATAAGTCTGAGAAAGTCTGTTTTACCAGTACGGGGGGGGGGGGGGGGGGGTGGTGGGTGGATGGGGTTAAAATAAAAGCTGATGCATAATAATAAAAGCTGCAGCAGTGTTTTATGACACAACAATTCCCAAGAGAACACTGCAATTTTTCTTTTGGATCCAATGTTAAAATCCAAAAGCTAAATCACCTTAATCTATTTAATTGATTTATAAAGTAGCATATTCCAGTCATTTGTTATTTCAGCTTATTCTTCTACTTCAGTGAGTTCAAAGTTCATCACTCAGTTGAGAGAAGTGGATTCCTCATCCAATCAAAGTCTTGGATTTTAACATTTAGGAAGTAATGGTGAAATTTCTCTTGAAGTAATGTCAAATGATCCACAATAAGTTAGCTATTGTCACAATTAGCCCGCTGTTATCACAATTAGCCTGGTATTGTCACAGTTAGCAAGCTTTTGTCACAATCATCCAGCGATTATCACATAAAGCTCGCACTCAGCATTTTTGGGAATACTTCTTCCAACTTTTATTATTTCCATTTCCCAATCACCATCTATGTCTTCCAATGCCATGGCATAAATTTGATATACCACTTTTATTTTCTCTTTTTATTGCTTGCTTGATTTCTATCATCCAAATATGTCAGCAAGGTTCAAACAGGACAATTTTGGGCACAAAATTGTTTTCAGTTAGATCACACGACTCACGTTGCTAATTATCTTAAAAAATATAACTATCATTTCTACAATCTGTTAATGAAAAACACATCATCTCATTAGAACCAATAAATTTCATTTAGTTGTATGTTTTTTTATAAATTTTGAACCCATCTCTTCACAAAGATTATGAACACATCATGTTTGATGGGGTCTGCTTTTAATATAATCAACAAGCATTTTTCATAACTTTGCTTAATTTATTTTAAGCGTTTTTTTTTTAAAAGTCTAAATAATACTTGAAGTTGTTATGATGAATTACTAATGACATACACACAGTTTGGAAAGCACTGACTTAAGTAGTTTCTATTTGTTTTTCTCTGATTCCATAGTATTTTGTCACAGCATTTATAATTTATACATATGATATCAATTATTGTGAAGTAAGATTATGTTAAAAAAAAATAACTTTAAAAGGCAGTAGAAAATTATATTCCCCCACCCCCCCCC